GGAGGCCAGGGGCAGGCCAGGCCTGCAGGCTGTGGGCGCAGACAGGCTGTCACCCACACTAGCAAGCTCTGGGTAGCAGCCAGGGAACAGCTGGGGCAGGAAGAGCAGCTTTGGGCTCCCTCCACTGCTTCTGCCTGCCACTGCAGTCCCTGTCCCACCTCGAGCATTACAGCAACCCCTGTCACCTCTCCTCTCAGTCAAAGGCTTTGCCAAAGCCACCAGGTGACTCCAGGTCCAGCGTCCACTCCGGCACCATTCCCACCCCTAACTCATGGGGTTTCTCTGAGGACTGGGCCTGGAGCAACCCCGTGTGACCCACAGGCATTGCTGGGGTCACAGAGCTGGTCCCCAGGACAGCAACCATGGCAGCAGAGCTAAGTGCTGCCCCCAGCACCACCATGGAGGGCTGGTCACACAGCCCAGCTCCAGGGACGAGCTCACCCAGCAGGAGAGCTGCCAAGGCACCCGGGGAGCCTGGCTGCGCTGGCCAGGGGAGCTGCCATCCACCAGCCAGCTGTGGGAGCTGGGCAGTGCAGCAGGGGGTGGATGCAGGAGAACAGGCTCTGTCCGGGAGCCACCTCACGTGGCAATGACCAAAGCGTGGGCCAGAACCAGAAATAAGTTTGGGGGAGGGACAGAAAACAGAGACAAATGTCCTGGGGAAACACAGAGCTGCAGGCCTGGATGCAGGAGGACACAAGCCACAGCCAGCTGTGGCCAGCACAGCCTCACGTTGGCATCGCTGGTGTTCCCCCAACACCAGACCTGTCACCAGCCGAGTGGGCGCGTCCCCTCCTGCCCCAGTCCTCAGCCACGGCAGAGACACAGGCCCAGGGCATCAGGGTGCTGCTGTGACAGGCAGGCAGCTGGGCACCCCGGCTCACCTTCTGCTGCAGCTGCAGGGACTCCCCTCAAGACAACGTGTTCCCACCTTTCACAACTTGGGCTCGGAGGAGAACCCGATTTCTCTTTGTCCCCAGGCTCCACCTCGGCCAAGGGCTTGTCACTGTGGTCCCTCTTCCTTGGGCAAAGGGTAACAGATCCAAGTGCCACTGCCCAAAGCCACAAAGCCCAGCCAGCTGCTGCTCCTCACAGTCCTGGCTCCCAGGCTACTGCCGCTTGGCTTTGTACGGGCGGGAGCGTTTCCGGCGGTCCGGCTTCCTCTGCTTGTGCAGACGGCCAATGCTGACTCCCTGCCGCCGGCGGACGGAGATGTTCTGCTCCACCAGGCTGGCCAGCATGCCTGCAGGGGGGACAGACAGACATGCCCCACGCTGGAGTGCTGGTACTGGCCATGCCAGAGTGCAGCCCTCCTCCTCCTGCCCAAAACCCATCAGGGGGCTCCTCCCAGGACTGTAAAATCAGGACACAGAGCAGAGACATGTGGCTCCCCAGGCTGAGCACCACCTTGTCCCCCAGGCCTGGCAGAAACAGGGAGCAGGGCAGGGTGAGCTTCCCAGGCTCCCAGCTGCTGCTCCACCACGCTCAGCATGGCTCCCCCAGCTGAACCTGAACCCCATGCTCCGTCCCCTCGGCCACACAGCGCAGCTCACCTTCCTGGGCCAGCATGGAGATGAACGTACAGATGAACTCATCGTAGTTGTGGGTTCTCCTCTGGTCATCAATCTACAAAGAGATGACAGATCCATAAATAATCCATAAACAGGTGACAGGGAGAAAGGAGAGCTCAAGGCTAACAGAAGCCTTCAGGGAGCTAAACTGGCAAGGCAAACAAGCATCAAACAACACACCTTAAATTTCTTCCTCTTCTCCACCTCCTCCTTCAGGCAGGCCTCGTAGTTGGCAATCTCGGCCTCCACGCACTTCAGCAGTGCCAGCAGCTCCTGCCAGGATCAAGCAGAGCAAATGTGAGCAGACAGAGCCCTGTCACAGCCCAGGAGCCAGCGGGGTGAGCTGGTGGGTGTTCCTCTCTGTGCTGGGAAAGGGAGAATTCAGGAAAGCAAAAAACACTTGCTGAGGGGGTAGGAAAAGAGTTCACTGCAGGGAACTTCTGAGTCAGAGGGTGATCAATCAGCCAGCACTACAGCCAGCCCCAGGGGAGCTGCCTTCTGCCCAGCATGGCCCAGGCCCATGGACCTGGTTCTGTGGGACAGGGAAAGTGTTGTGTGCACGCCTGAGAAACACCCCAGGGCCTGGTTCTTCTCAGGAACAGAATCTGAAGACATCACTTTTGAGTGAAACAGTTTCTAACCAGCTCTCCTCCAGGGAGCTTGTGCTGCCCGAGCCTGGTCCTGTCTCTGGCTGGAGAGCAGAGACAGGCAGTAAAGAGCAGGCTGGGATTTGGGGGTACAGGGTCCCACCAGCCCCTGGCCCAAAGAAGAGCGCAGCACACCCAACATCTCAGCTGCAGGAGACAGCGGCTCTGCCCCCTGCCAAGGCAAATGTCCCCGAGATGACGCGAGGCACAAAACCTGCACTGCCCTGTGCCTCGAGGGACGGCTGCGGCGACACGCGAGCGGGACAGCGTGCACATGCGGTTCGGTCACTGCCAGCGCTGCTGCGTCTCTGGGTGAGCGCAGGGAGCTCCACGTTCCCAGGGCTGTCGCAGCACAAAACTCACCTTGGGAGAATACTTTTCCCCCCCAGGGTGATCACTGGTCCTGCCAAGTCCCACCTTCTCTTTGCTGTCACTGGCCTCACTGCCCTCCTTCTCGTCCAGTTTGATTGCGACCGGGGCCTCTTCACCGGGTTTGATGGAAGGGGGAGAGCTTTTCCCCCCATCTGTGCAAAGAGGAAGGAAGCATTAGGAGCCATCACAAAGGACCAGCAT